CGCCAGGCCCGACAGGCATTCCTGTGAATAATGGTGCACCTGTGCTTTGAGGTATAGTTGTACTTGCTGCTGTTAAAAACAAAGAATTGTATGTATCCCAGAAAAATATATTATAACACACTTTGGATATAATAATAAAAATGTAGTACTTTGCCAAAAATTTGAAATAAAAAACCTATTAAAATACAACAGATAACACATTAATTTTATAATCATTCAAGATGTAATGTAATATATCTGTACCTGTCTGACTCATCATGTGTGGATTTACAAAAAGGCTATGTACATATGCACCTAAGCTATTAACAATATCTTGAAAAATATTTGTAGCGTGTGGTTTTAAATCGTAACATTCGCAGAAGTTTGTCAGCAAATCTGCTTGAACTGTCATTTTGTGCAAAACTTCCAATGCTAAAGCTCTCTGCCACGTAGGTTTGTCAGGATCCAGAAACTTTACAATTAAGGATAAAAATATTTCACATTCTGTCACCTAAAATAACAGAATGTCACTTATGCTGATAAATTCATATAAATCGTTACCATGTACAAATTCCGATATATTTACCAATAAGGAATGGTATTTCTGTATTAAAATCGACACAACTCGCAATAGCCTCATACTAATAGGAAAATAAGGTTTATCTAAAGGTGTAGCTTGTTGCAAAGACGCTGGTACTGAATTACGATACTTGATGTTAGGCGAAAACAATTTTATGACAAGTGCACATACTCTCTCCTTCAATAAGAAGCTAAACTCTAGATGCTAAAAAATTATATTTTTATAAGATATAATTCTTATATATATATATATATACATAAATATATGAAATAAAAAGATCCTGTTAAAATATCATTTTCCTATTCTTAAAAATATAAATTTTCTCATTTACTTTAAAGAAAACTGATGAAAAGTTTGTTAAAACCGACTCTAGCAATTCCAAACCAAAAGTTCTTGTCATTTCAGTAATGCCTATTAGCCAATATGGTTGATCAGCATTCACCAATTGTACTAGATCCTAAAACCAAATGTAAACAATGTATACAAATATATACAATTTACACAAAGAAGTAAATCATAATTATATTTTATAGAGTTACATAATTACACAAGTATTATAGTAAATAACAAAACACCTGAAACATTAAATATGCATCTGCAGCGCAAGGACCGAGACCTTTAGGCGCTTGATTCGTTGGAATTTTCAATTCCTCTAAATTTACTTCATCAAATTCTGGCTGATCAGAACTTTGCTCATCTTCAGCAACTACTCTTTCAAATACCAAAGACACTAGTTGTCTTACAGTAGCACCAGCTGTATTTATCGTTGTACAGTCTTTTGTGAAATGTAACCGAAAACAAAGCACCAAATTCTGGAAAGATGTAATTTTGAGTAGAATATAATGAAAATGTTATTGAAAAAAAAGATAAAAAACAAAATTTATATACAAATGGATCCTTACTCTTGCCAGGGTATCTCCATGTACCACGGCATTACTTGTAAGTAATAATGTTACAGTCTGCAAAACTTTAACTTCTTCTGTACCCGATTCCATTAACAACCACAAAGCATCTGTAATATATCGGGCACCTTTCTGATCCACTGCTTGTTGCGTTATTAACCTTTGCATCATGCTTAAGCAAAACTAGAAAATACCATAAAGATTTATATAGCACACATTACAAAATTTTTTTTATTAAAGATAATGTGTAAACATAGCTTTTAATACCTTGATAATTTTTATGTCCTTACTCTCACAACCTTGAACTATAGGATAAAGTATTTGATTTACAATATAATATATTGGTGTCCCTGGGTTATTTGAGGCTGTTCTTAACTTTGCGATTCCTTCCTCGCATGACTGTAACAAATACATATTATAATATAGTCACTATGAATTTAAAAAGCGAGGATGTATTGTCCCAAATGAGACACTCCTCTGATTGAGCTAAAACTTTACAGGTAATATTCACTGTTAAAAATTTCATGAAATTTGATATACTTTTAAGTTACACAATTTGAACTTAATTTCATGACATCACATTAAATTTAATGTATTTATAACTGAAAAATATATTTGTGTACATGTATGTACATGAAATATTTCTCATAAAAATTTATAAAATTTAATGTACATTACATTTAAGTAACTACTGTAACTTAATTTTCAGTTAAATTATTCATTATTTTTAATTTCGTTCATAACTATGAGCCTCATTTACATGTAAAGGAAGCTCGTAGTTATATTTCTAACAGTGTTGTTATGATATATAATGATTATTTATGAAGATTTTATCGTCGGGTTTTCTAATTCGCTTCGTGTGTCAGACGCTCCTAGGCAGGGGAGATATGGGAAAAACTTTGCTTTACAAAGTCATTACGTAAGGAAAAGTGGGGGAAAATTCTTATTGTATGAAGCAGAAATAATATGTTATTTTTTAAACTCTTTGTTAATAACTTTTTAACGAATAACGAGCGACAAGTGTTGGAAGTCACTCAGGGTCATGACCTTGACAATATACGCCAAATTCAAGTTCATCGGGGACTGACTTCCTCTATTAGCATATTTATCGTTATATTATTATATCGGAATAGTTAGTACAATTAGAAAAATAATAATAAACGATTCGTTAGGGCTGTATATAACGTAAAACACAATAAATAAAAAAATAACATCTATAACGATCGAAATTGGATCTTACTGCTTTAAATAATTCCCTGTGAATTTATATATCACATTTATAGTCCCTTAAATTGCGTATCGAATGGATTTTTCAGACCTAGAAACGCAATTAAACTACTATAGTATAATAATAATATCACAAATTAAATTAATAACCAATTTAATAATTTCATGCTCAATTGGCATCATTTAAAATGAGATCTTAATGTACTGAAAATCTGTAAATAAATTTATTGCGAAAAATATATTATCTCGGTCAAACCTGGATCTCTAACATTCCGTGCGAGCGTCCTAAGCTTTTAGACGACCGAGAGTTTGGTTTATTCTTCGCAATAACCGATATGTAGAAACATACGCATTTTTCAGGTAGTGTATAAAATAATAAACGATTTATTTAGATCGTATAATGTGATATATCACATCACATAAATGCGTTATCGTTTTAATAAATCGAATACACGTTTCGCAACACTTCGGAAAAAGATTTATTACGTACTACTCAAAATAATTCGAAAGATGTTTCAGAATGAAATGTATATTCGATGAAATCTTTTTGAAGGTGTTTGCAGGTACAATTTTTGCAAATTCGATATATTTTCTAATAAAGTATTTTACAATGAAACAACTAAATAACCGAATTAAATACTTCCATCATAAGTCAGATCTTGATAAAGGAAACAAACAAAAGATCTTGATAAAGGGAAAAAAAATTTAATGATAACAGTATCAGAAATGTCTGCACTGACCTGTTACTTTACTTTTGTTATAAGAGATCTGATTCCTCATAATAATAAAGTTTGGAATTTTTATCTTACATTTTGTGAGATTATCCTTAAAACTGTCTCTAAAAATATCTAAAAATATAAGAATTGACTACAAATATCGGTTATATATTATCATCTTAAGATGTTACTTAAGATGATCTTGAAATAAAAACGGACTATAAATACCGGCCTATAAATACTAATTAAAAATTAAAGATCGAATACGTGGACAAAAATAAGTACAAAATATGAAAAATAAGAATAACAGCAATTATTAAATTCATCATCGTCACTACGTCACTGTTATAAAATAAAAAAGTAACATTGTTGCCAGTCTACCAAAAAAAAAAAAAAAAAAAACAGTAATGGCGTTACAAGTAACTTTCATTCCTTAGTACATATACTAAATTTATAAGGGTAAAGGTCCCTATCCTTACCTTTGCACTAGGACCCCGAAAATCTTTTGCATGGCCCTGGCAAGTTATATAGTTATATAGATTTCTAACTTGTTTCCGAGTCGTAGCTTAATCTTCAAAGAGAAAAGAAACTTAATCAAGACCTAAATGGAAGCTTCCAGTTTCACGGTCCAACTAATGTAGGACTATGTTCAGAAACATTCAAATGCTTCTATGTGTCATTTTATTCTTGTTTAACATTCAACGAATAAGGATAAGATGATACATAGGTGTGAGGGAGGCGGTCAGATGGTATTTCTGAACGTAGCCTAAGATATAACAAGTGGTCTCGCAGTTACGTACCTCTTTGATTTGAGGGTACTTCTTCTTGGTCTCCGAAGCAAGTACTTTGAGATCCGACTGAAGGACCTCCAGGAACTTAGAGGCATTCTCCGGATTGCTGCCGACGACGGCGGCGTTCGCCATCATTGACAATGCCACCGTTGCTCTTGTTTCTCTTAGATCAGTACGACTTCCAGATGCGGGGGCATGACAGCTCGATGACAGCTACCGGACTGGAGACTGAGCGCCACGGTGTTCAGCCGTCAGATGATGACCGTATTTCGAATTAACACGCTTTGCCACGCCGCTCGTTGGTGACGGTGATAGCGAACAGGCAGCAATGGTCCATCGGAGTCGCCTTCTCGAGTCGTCGCGGATCACATCGGGCGGGTCGTCGCGGACACTCGTAAATCGCGCGCAGAATGCAGCTAACGCGACGTTGTTCTCGCTCGTACGCCCAAAATTCACGCTTCTTTAGACAATGCCAATTCCAGTTGAAGAGCGATACAATACAAAATTCATGTAGCCACGACCTGGCGCAACTACGAGCCTCCCAACTGCTAACACAATTGACACCAATCAACACACAATTTGACACGATTCAACACTATTGACACAAACTCACGAACCACGTATGCAATAGCGCAGCGCTACTGCAGCTTGCATTGTCACCAGTTGTCACTGGTCTAATAAGTCTAATTTCCACCGAGGAGTAAAGGCACATTTTCACGAGCCGCTTTAAAACCAGACAGAAACTGGATTGGCGGCTCTGATACTGGACAATGTGGGCACATTGAATTACATCAATCTATTTGCGTCCATATAACCTCGAATTGAGATAGCTTCCAATAACAGTTTTATAAACGTGAATAAAAAACGCTTACTGTTAACAAGTTATCATGTCACTCGCGCGACAAGGACAGGTTTGTGTCTTACTGATATTGCATATAATAATATTGCAATCTTTACATTTGTTACTTATAATTTGTATATATTTGTCACAAACGTGTTTGGTTATTTTTGTAGTCTCAAAAGCTAATTAATTTACAATTGTTTTTGACTTGTTTTCAGCAATGGGGTACATTTGCCCGTATTTGGCACGTTTACGATGCGAAATGGCAAGATCCATATAAGAGTGCTGAATTAATAAAACATTATCTTCTGGGAACGCACAAGCCAATATATCATCCACTAAGTGAGTATTAATATCCGTTATTTTCTTTTTTTTTTTTCTTATTCTGGAACTTTTATATATAATTTAGGTAATTATTCATTTCGATACCAATTTAAATTTGTCATTCCTAAAAAATTTTTGTCCTTTCGGAAAAAATGATTTATACAAAGATAATTCAAAAGAAAATGAGTAATGACAAAATATTTTTGAAGAAAAAAATTAATGAAATCATATTTAATTTACTTCAAAAGATTTACATTATTTTTTTTGATATTTTTATATAAAATAAATAAGTATTTCGTAAACTATCAATTTTTTTATGACAATCTTCATGCACAGAATGAGATGCAAGTTGCTTTTAAAAAAAATTAAATAAAAATTAAATGAAATTGATAATTATGCATAAATTTTTTAATAAAAAAATATAATCACAATTAAAAAATAAAAACATGTTCTTATAACTGTTAATGTGTACTTGACAATTTTTATGTAGGCAATTGCGGCGATCATGTAGTAGTAATAAACAGCAAGGAAATTGCCTTACGCGGAGACGAATGGCGAAATCGTGTATACTTTCATCATAATACATATCATGGAGGTGCCACATGGACTCTTGCATGGGAATTACATCATAAGGATCCAACTTTGGTAACTAATTTATTCATGATTCCAAAATGTATAATAATGTAAAATATTATTAGCTATTTCTTAACATAACTATATACATGTATATGATTGGAACAGATTGTAGAAAAAGCTGTATACAGGGCATTACCGAAGACCTTACTACGAAGGCATACTATGCAAAGATTACACATATTTCCAGATGAAAAGATACCTGAAGATATGTTGAAAAATATTACTAATCAAATCAAACAACTAAGGATTGTTCCTGTACAACTAAAACGTATTCCACGGACCGAAATAGATAACTTCCCACAACTTTTAAGATATCCCAAAAATTATATTCTTAAATAAGTTTAATACTATATGATAATATAGCCAAATAATAATATGTATGTGTATACTGTATATATTAATACCAAAACCTTTCATAACTCTTTACAAATCAGCAAAGTTCAAAAGTGTTTGCTCTTTCAGGTCCAAAATTAGAATTTTAATTATTAAAATGGAATAATATACTGGAATAAACCATTACGTAATAATATACATTTATGTAAAATTTAATTATAATTCTATATACAAATGCAAAACATAGTTATATATACATGCGTGTGTGTATTAAATTAATATCAAATATCACAATTAAAATTTCTCCTATTTCTCCATAATTCTATCTGATTCGTTATCGTCATCATTCACAATTACAGAATCATTCACAGTCTGTGAAGTATTCCATTTACTTTGTTTTTCGGATAGTTCTTTGGATTCTGGATCTCTTGATTCAATTGTGATGTCAGCAATTCGTGGGAGTGACAAATTTCTTCCGTACAGTTCTGAGTTTTCTGCATCGAAATCATAGGAATTACGCAAAATAGGTACATCGCAGAACTGACATTGCGGCTCCTCATATATATCTTCTAAGGATGGGTGAAAGATTTGGCTGCATATCGGACAGACACGGTATTCCAACAACGTTATCTGCAATAACGTCATGCAACATCTAGGTAGCTTGTGACCACGCGGACACGCTCTGATATGCCATATTCCATCTATTCTTTCACCACATAGATTACACTTTTCAGTTTGGTTCGAATAGAACATAGTCATGTTTAATATTTCTTGAATACGCTGATTTGTATTTTTGTTCTTTGAATCCTCAATTGATGGTATGCCTTTGTATATTTCCAGATATTGTCTTAATAAAAACACTGTAAACATCTGATCCTCCGATAATACACTCTTCTTCATCAACTTTTTCAGATATGTACAAGCGGAATGTAGAAAAATTAACGGAAGCGCTTCTGTTATTTTACTTTCTCTTATGTGATCCATATTCGGTATTGGCTTCTTTGTTGTACACACATTCATTATTACTGTCATCCACATTGATACTTGCAGTTGGTAGAGTGACAATGATTCAAGATTCTTCGATATTGGGTGAAATATCGTAGATGGATCTTTTGCCTTGATAGCTTTCAGTCTGAAGATTTCCATACAATCCCAGATATTTCCGAGATTTGTACTATCATTAATAATAGATACTGGATCACAAAATTTGCTTTTTAAAGTGAATATATGCATTATACTTGGTTCTCTTGTCACCAGATGATCATACACCATATTTGGACTAGTTAAATTAACAAATATTACTTTATTTGGAGAATGAGCAAGTCCAAAATATTGAACACGTTCCTGTGGTAGATGACTTTTAATATTGATACTAACTAAATCGTTTAATATATTAATAATGAAAATATGACTGTCCTGTGTAGAGATTAAGAATTGCTGGGCAATAATAGGAACTACACCTGAAAAAATAATTAAACATATAACAATTAATAATATATTGTAACATATTTCCAAGGTTAATTAAAAAATGTTTATGTAACATAAACATTGAAAAAAAAACAAAATATATTTGTAAAATTTGATTACAATATAATTCTCAAAAATCTTTACCTGTAATGGTAAATCCTTGTATATGCAAGTATCGCATATTTTTTAATTCTCCTGTCGTACTTATGCACAATACCAAGACAAAAGAACCTTTGACAGCAAAAATCTGTATATTTAATTCGTCTTGAGGAATTATATATAAATAATTAACTGCCATACAATCAGACTCGACATATTTTTGTACAAGTAATATTTGTAGACTATTATCCTTATCTGTTAACTTTATACCACATATTGTACCATCAAAATATCCTACAACAATCAGATGTTCGTTGGCCTTAATAGTGGTCCAACATAATACGTTAACCTTCGATACATGATTTAAATGTATTAATCCAAAAAATATAGGCTGCAAGCTTTTCGTAAAATCTGATATTTTGAGAACCTTCCAAATCACTATATCGCCATTACAATAGGCTACAGAAAAATATCCAAAAGAAGTATCTTTTGTTTTGAAAAGTTTGCTCCATGTCATAGAGCAAGCTTGTAATTTCTTTACGCTCTCAACTATCCTTGCACTCTGGTTCTCATGACAATTAGATTTATTCAGGCCAGCTTTGATCTCATCTTCTATAATTTTTAGCCGAAGGGACAAAACATCACATATGGAATACCAATTATTAGAAACTTTATGCAACAATTCAACTGCACCTGCCGAGTTTAATATCGCTAATATGCACTGACCAGGAGAGATTAAATTTTTAGGAGACCATGACACTTTTACTATTTTAGGAGACTTGTCAATTACTCCGTCTAATTTTGGCGTAATAACATCATTCATAAGAAGTGAATAAATCTCTTCACGTATCATATCCCATATTGAGGAATCTACCTCGCTTTTAAGTGCACATGCTGGCAAAGCGTCTAAATGATATATGAAAGAACGGGAAAACTTGAAAATTGGATTTGGCGACATAGGCGAAGGTTGTAACTCCTGTAAAACAATATTGAATCCAAGTTATGTTGTTAAGTTAAGTTATAAAGTTGCTGTATTTAGACAATTCCATATTATGCTGATTTACAATAAGTCGGTAGTCCTAAGTCTTACCAGTGAATCAGTGAAGTTGACCAACAGTTAACTTGTACAACTAATGGGCTTTTTATAATAGGTCATTATCTAAGCAATGGATTTTCTACAATAAGTTATTATCTAAATTTTAAGTCAAATCATAAGAAATTAATCAATCACAATCAAATGTGACAAAAATAATCGATTATGATTAGTCAATTTCTTATAGCTTAAGACTTAAAATTTAGGTAAGACTAATTGTAGAAAATTAGGACCATCCAGGACTTCCTAGTACCGACATGTTGCAGAACCCCTGTTAAGATTTCCGACTACCGACTCATAGAATCAATTTTATATGTAAACATAAAAAATATCACAATATATAAATATGATAAATAAAACTCGCTTAAATTGCGAGATCTACTTATCGCTCAATTTCCCTTTAGATATAAATACAATGTCGAGGAAGATTTTAACTCCTTTGTGATGTGAAAAAATGATGAAAAAACATAACTTACGAGCACATGTACACCCTTTTCCGTAATTATCGAAATATGATTATCAGATGACCATTGTATAGCGAACGGGTTCCCCACTAATGGAGAAATATTGATACTACAAAGTTCCTCTGTTTCCATAAAGGTACAATTTCACGTGCTGCTTATTCTTATTATTTGGATGGCTCCTGTCTCCAGTGTTGAGAGGAGACAATACGGTCACGTGCTGCTAAAATAAGCGGTAATTATTCAGAGGAGATCGATTGTGCATCTTTGAAATGGAGTGAAAATTACAAAAGTGAGTAAATTTACTAGGCGTTGGCTAATGAAATTATAAGTATTCTAGTGAATTTGATCACTTTTGTAATTTCGTCTCATTTCAAGATACACAATCGAACCCCAGTTTACCCCTCAAAAATCAATGAAATTAGACTTACTCGACACGAAACGACAAGAAACGAAAGAATCTGGTAAAAAAAAAGCGTCGTCTGTTCCGCGAACCGAAATATTAATCGTTAAAATTGACGATTATTCAGGTTAGGAAATCTGTCATAACAAAACAATACAACACTACAATGTGAGCAGATGTGAACATGCGTTGCGTTAGCCTAACTTTCTCGTGACCGGCTACTTGAGAGGTTGGTCTCCTTGTTTCTATTCCGTAGACTTGTTCTTTTTGCACCAGTTCATCTTTCTTTTTCTTTCCTCCTGAAGAGAAAAGGAAGAAAGATGAACTGGTGCAAAAGCTCAGCTAAAAAGAACAGGTCTCGTGTTTTCCTGGTTTTCCACAATGTGGCCACGATGATCGATATCCAAATTGCGTGCCATAATTACACAAGAGCAGAAAAGAGATCAAAACAAATGAATCGTTGATTGTATTTTGTTTTTTATCTCTTGTAATGCTTGTGTCCCGTGACTATAGTAAGCAATTTTTAAAGATATACATATTATCCGCATTTTTACAAATGTCTTAACATTTATACTTTAAACAAACTGTATGCATATATATGAAAGTTGTGTTTATAACATTCTATTTTTCTTGAATAACAGTTTTATTGTTTAAAAGTGATCAAATTTACTAGAATTTGTTATTACTTTGTTGTAAATTAAATTTGAAAAAATAATGATAAAATTTTTCAATGTTTTGTATAAGCACTTTAAGAATTCAAAATAATCAATGCAAACTTTTATTACGATTTTATTTAGAGATATTGACTCGACATTACACCATGACCACAATAGTTTTTTTTGCAGAAATACTATATATTATTTTTCATGCAATATTATTTGTTATTTTACAGTAATTTCAAGTGTGTATCAATTATTCTCGGTCTCCTAATTTAATATTTTTCTTATTTTTCTTTATTACTGTTAATGGCCGATATTCATTATAGTTAGATCTTATATTCAAGAATCTTCAATATATTCAAGTCTTAATAATTAAGTACGGTCTTAAGAAGTCACGAACCAATCAGAGGGCCGTATTAGCGTCTTAAAACATTACTTAAGACAGTCTTGAAATAAATATGAATACCGCCCAATGTGTAGTCTCTTTTGTTGTCACTTTTTCGAAATGTGTGCGCGTTTATTGACTCACGGGGTTCCGAATTACGCATAAAGCCCATAAGATATTATTTTATCCTTTTTTTATTCTTCGATGAACAACGAGGACAAATGATGCATCATATATGTTTATCGACCCGGCGGGTAAATCAGGCCGATAAGTCAGACTACTACTATGACCCTTCGAATTATTAATGGGCAATGTATGTGTATACATACATACCGCATGTTGCATCACATATTGATCAGATAATGGTTATTTTATAAATGTAAAGTCTAGTAAAGAAGACATTACATTTATAAAATGTAATCAATCGATTAATTTTCTAAATATGTAAATACCTGCTAGAAAAGATATTACATTTATAAAATAATTTGACCAACACTGACCAATATGTTAATG